TGTGTGTGTGTGTGTGTGTGTGTGTGTGTGTGTGTGTGTGTGTGTGTGTGTGTGTGTGTGTGTGTGTGTGTGTGTGTGTGTAGCTGTATGAGGAAGTAAGGAAGTCGTTTGAACAGTGTGATGTTCAGGAGGATATTGAACACTTCGTAAACCTCAGGCGAATCGACGAAAAACCTCCAGGTAATCAAAACACAACACAGTAAATAATTAACCTGGGAATGCAATTGTAGTTACTCATACTGTAAAGGCCGGGACATAAACATAAAAGTTGAGTGGTGCAGTGATGTGGTTTCTCTGTGTTGGACCCTGAAGGCAGCATCTCCCTGGTCCAATGGGATTTTTGATTGGATTTCGGATTATTGCAGAAAATAATCTCTGTGTCAAACAAGCGTTTATGATATTTACACGTTAAATTGAACGGGATAATCTCCACATATTTACACCACTTTATGATTTTTTAATCAAAAAGTTAATGGGCTATAAAGGAACTACAGCCCGGTCACATGACTTCACGTCACCACCACTAAGCTAAAGGCAGCTAATGTTGGGCGTGATGACTATATATCCTTTAACTAAACACACAAGTAAACAGGAAGTGCAAAAATGCTGACTCACACCTTGGTTTAAGGACTCATTTCTGCAGTTCTCTGTTATAGTGAAATAATAATGTGAAATGCATTCAAATAAATGCAACACAGACCCTTCATTTAACACCTTCCTTGTGTCCTGAGTTTGAAATATTCACCAAAAGAGGGATAAAAAGTTGTATACCCATTTGTCTATTTCACTGGAACATTACACCTGGTAGGAGTGGTGTATGCTCTGCCTAAAAGCACATAGAAAGGAACATATTAATCAGATAACACGCACTTATGCATTGCTGATTAGTAATTGTTGGGAAAACACTGAATGTCCTCTTCCAACATCAGAGTACCATGATAACAAAGGTATCAACTGTAGCTGTGAACATGACAGGATGTGTGATTACCTAGAAGAGCATCAGGACTGTTTCGAGGCCTATCCCCTGTGTGCCTATGTGATTAACATGATGATTCAGTCTCTATGGAGAGAGACATTTGACAAGCATGATCATTTCTGACGTGGAGCTAATCTGAAGTAAACATTGAATACTGCTTTCTATTCCTCCATCTTGTGACTGTGTAACTCCCTCTCTTGGATATCAGCATGTGAAGGACACTGTTCAGGAACTAGTTAATGCTCTGTATGTGATGACTACTTCCATTCTGGAGAGGATCACAAATACATGGATCCTGAGATTGAAGCTCAAGCCGGTGACATTTTTCTAACAAGTTATTATTCCTTTTCTCACAGCTGTGGTTGTGTATGAGAACTTCTACAGCGTTCAGAGGGCTCAACCTGGAGCTCCTCCATCCAGACCGCCTCCACAAAACCCCAGGTAAGAACAGTCTGTTTAACCCCCCTAACTTTTACATTTACTTAGTATTTTAACCACCTTTTTAAACACATTTTCAGAACAATAACTGACTTGTCTTGTCTTGTGAATTTGCAGGAGGGGGCCGTTACCTGATCCAACAGAAAACAGTAAGCGCAGTTACTTTCTTGTTCTACCTAAATACTGTTTTGGAAAGCAAGTAATTAATTAAATAAAGTACTAGTAACTACAATTTGAGGATACCTGTACATTACTAACTAGTATTTATATTCAATACTGCTTCAAACTACTTATCCACTACAGTTAGAGATATATTTTACTTTTTAATCTATTAAATGTATTTAAAAATACTTATAATAAATACAAAATACAAAATTAAATAAAAATAAAAGTTTTGAAAAAAAGGAAAATAATTACGTAGCGTCGGGAGAGGGATAATAATTCAGGGGAAAAAAAGAAATGTATGTTTATTATATATTATATTATATTGATGTTATGTTTAGGGGGGAAATGCTGTTTTTACAGTCAAATGAACACATTGCTTTATCACAAATGTACCACATGCGTTTTCTAGCTCTTTACAAAGTCAGTTTCCTCTGGTCTTTGCTAGCTGTCGTAAATTGACTTTTTAATCCAGTTTTAAGCAACATTTTCACCATACACTTTTCACAATGATGGGACATCTGTATCTGAAGTTATCGGAGAAACAAGTTGATCTAACGTTAGCAGACACAAAAGAGAATGATGATATTTGATTATCAACTGCATGGTTTCTGCACTTCTGCTTCACACACTCATTGTTTTGATTGCAGACGATGTGATCTACTCCACGGTGCAGGACGCAGGCTACAGTGTTATCCAGTACTAACACACACACACACACACACACACACACACACACACACACACACACGAAACTTCCTTCTTATCACTTCCTCCTTTGTGATTTCCTGA